TCCTAGTTCATAGGATATAAACCTTAGAAAGGAAAATCCAAAGCTCTCTTCTCTGAAACAGTAAGATTTATTTGTCCCAGATGAATGGCTGGGAAGGTAGGGTAGAAAAGAGCATTTCCCATGTCAGACTGAAATGGTCCAGCTCTGCTGATGCTGCAGAATTTACCCATGGAGGAATTAGCTAAATCTAACACAGCTCCCTCATGAGCAGTTTGGAAGCAGTCATCCATCAAAGTGGGCTGAAATGCAGCTAAGAATTAATAAAACCACATGACACATCCAAATATCAACAAGGAATTTTAAGATTAATTAATTAGCAAAGGACATGACTGTTCACCTTGACCTGAGACTTGCAGAATTAGATCAAGAAAAGGATGCCAAGTATGCTCTCACAAATTTGGAGTGTGGATTTTTTGCTGTAGCAGTAGCGTAATGGAAAGGAGAACACCTTCTGTGAAGAAGCTGTGAGCTGGTGTTCATCTACCTTGTGAGTACAACTTGCTGTATAATGAGTGTAATAGAAAGGGGGAGGGGACATTAATCCTGGTTCATCTACCTTATAAATGACTGGAAACAAAGTATTAGTTTGCAGTCTGAAAGAAGGAAATGAAATTTTCAGAAACGCAAGCTTTTTGGTAACCCCCCCACTCATTGCAGCTTTTTCAAGGGAAATGTGAGAGAACATAGGGAAGGCTCTCTTGGGGCAGCATTCAGGCTACTATTGCAAGAGATTAACCAGAGGGTTCATTTTTAGTTGGTAGTGTAAGAGCACACAAATTTCGCCCTTGGCCTCACCTGCAAGCCACTTTGTGGCAACTGGCTCCAGCACGTGTGAGGAAATGTTCTGAGATGGGTGGGTGGAAATCAAGGTAGCAGGAACATCTTTGCTTTTGTTGTTGTGTCGGGTATCACTGACACCTCACCCTCGGAGCGCAAACCTTCACCACCACCAGTATCTTTGGCACTGGCTTTTGAAAACAGTCTACAAATTGACTTTAAGCAGCTTGAAAAAACACTGGGTTTTGTATATAACTTAAAATTATGTTTCTGGGTTTTGTTAACAGAATATGTAATGTAAAAACTCGGTTTCAGTTAAGATAATTTAGTATCTGTATCTCTTTGTAGATACCTTCCAGATAAGCATTTTGTCCTGAGCATCATTCATGTAACAATTGTGTTTGGTTCATACAGCTATTAGAAACCAAAATAGAATATATCAAAGCACCAGAAACTGTGATGGAAGATGCCAATGAGTTAATAGTCAAGGACAAAGCTCCTGGATAAGCATGACCACAAGTAAACCTTAGATTTGTTGTTTTCTTCTGTACCTTCTGAAATGGTGATTTGCCCTGCACAGCAGAACAGATCTTGGCATTTGTTTTTCACTTACTAGAGGATTTGCAGAGCAGGAAAAGAGGATTATAATTCCTCTCAGCAGAAAGTAATCCTTTTGTGTTAGGTATGTCAGCATTCATTGAGAAGTGTGGGAAAGTGCATGCTACTTAAAATACTTGACAGGTCTCAGAGAAACGTGGTGGCAGGAAGATGGGAGCAAAGCCCCCTGTTGTCATTACAATGGCCCCCAAATTAGAGACTGTTGGAGGGAGCAGTGAGTGAGGGAGCTCAGGACTGAGGACTGATTTTAATATTTATCCAGCTTGGTCAATTCACAGTGTTAAAGTCCAGAATTATAACCTAGAGTGGTATGTGTTCATTCAAAACTAATAGCAAACAAATTTTGACTTCACAAGGTCACTCCAGAGAGATGGTGGTCCTGTCTTGTAATTTTACTGTGCATCACTAGCATGTTAGTGAGGTGGCCCCCATAAACTGATGGTTCTGCTACACTTGATACATATTCTGAGCAGCATATAGTTCCTTCAGTACATATCTGTTCTGTTCAGAAAGTTATAGTCTGATTATAATGGTCACACCAACCCAAGACAGAATTTATTAATGAGTTTCATAGTATAGTTTTTGGAGTCCGAGTACCTGGACAGAGACATTATCAGCACCTTTATCATCATGGAGTGACGAGTAAGTTCAGAAACTATTCTAGACTCGGTTGTTAAAAAGTAATTCAGGATTAATATATTAGGATGAAGTTGAAAAGTACCTGGAATCCAGATGAACCTCACCTGAGCAGCTGATGAGATCCTACAGACAAGGCAATGACAGAAAAACTATTGGGGATTAAAAAACCTTTGAAGTCATATGAAATAAGGTAAAGAAAATGTGCAGGAATTCAGTGATGGAAAATCCACACTGAGAAGTATTTGAGGTACAGCTGCAGACGAATTAAACAAATGAAATTTAACCCCCCTCCCCCCCCAACATTTCTAATAAAGCAACATAAAGCACAATAGCTGACACAAAGGGCTTGAAAACACTGGGAAAGAGAACAATTGTGAAAATACAAAATGAAGTGGAAAGTTAACAGAAGAAGAGAAACAAAGCAACAAATTGCTTAAAATAGCTGAAGATATTATCGGGCAGTTTATACTGTATTTGTAACAGCATAATAGCCTCATATCTATTGTAATGGAATGCAATTTTATTCACTCTGATTTAGCACAGGACAGTCAACACAGTCATTTTAAATCTGTTGTTCGCTATCCAAGATAGCATCTTGACAGCTACTAACAAAGTGTTTCATAATGCAGACTGCTGGGGACAAGTGAAAGAACCAAATGCAGGGTCAGCAGTGGAATACATAAAATACACTTCTTTCAGGAATGTTTCGCACAAGATATCTTTAGTCTTTCATATTTTAAAATTCTGCATTTCAATTTTGCTGACATTATACATAATTCACATAATTCCCCCATTTTGTTTTCTACTGAATTCCCTCCTCCCCACCTCATCCTCAAAGCTTCTTATTTCTGCAGCCTGAGTGACAACTGCAGGTGCCTCTATAGTGGTTATTGCAGTGCAAACCAGTATTTAAATGGCCTGCTTTGGCTAAATGGTTCTTTGTTTGCATGTAACTACTTTCCTCATGTTCCCTCCTAACAAATACTGTCCATGTGGATGGAATAGAAAGGCTTGGAAGTGCTTACATGGGTAAGTACTTACTGAGGCTCAGATCCCAGGATACATGGAGAGGCTCTTCTATGTTTTAGGGTGGCTGTTCAGAGAGGGGCAGAACACAACCATTTCTCATGTGTCTCCATTTTCCTACAAAAACATTACTTTTCTCTGACTTTTATTTTAAGTCAATATTTAAAGTACAGTAGTTAAAATAGCCAGTCAAGCCTGGGAACTTATCACTGTAGGCAGAATGCATTTTGCAAACACTGAAGCTACTTCACTGCCAATCCCACGAGGGCTCTCTGTGAGTCACCTGCAGAGGCCATCCTGTTGAGATGGATGTTGTGCTTATGAGGGAGAAACGTTCAGATGGAGGAATGGGAAAAAGGAAGGGAACTTTATCAAGTGTACCTTAGTCATGAGAGTTAATTACAGCTGTATTGGAGAGTGTACCACTCCATTACCACAGTTGCAGCAGGGAAATACCATCTCAGCAGGTTTCTGCCAGATCTGCTTCACATTGCATTAGACAAAGGAAGATTGACAGTGCCAGCAGCACAGGGGGAAGCTGTGCATGGACCTCTACCTCAACCGATCACCCATCTTTGTGATCACATCTCTGCTCAAAGGGCTTATTTTCTCACTGAACTCCTCAGTATTCATAAAATAATGTGCCTAATCTAGTAACACCCTCCTTGATTAATAAAGGGACACATAGAATCATAGGATGGTCCCGGTTGGAAGGAACCTTAAATATCTAGTTCCAACCCTATTATATTGTTAAGTTTTGAATAAAAATTAAAATTCTTAATCGAGGAATACAGGTTATTCAGAGGAAACCAGAAAAACAGTTTCCACATCTTTATTTTCATTGTTCTTCCTTCCAGCTGGAGTGGAAGAATACAACATAATAGGAAATTGCTTGGAGGAAAAATGCTTAAAAAATTATATATCCCATTTTTTTTTCAATTCATTTTCTGTAATTTGATTTATTTTCCAATCTTTCTGTTGAAAGAAACCAGCTTTGCTTCCCTCACTTCCACCTTTGGAAGTTGTGGCTGCCTCAACCCTGTCAGTGTTCAAGTTGGGTGGGGGTTTGAGCCACCAGGTCTATTGGAAGGTATCCCTGCCCATGGCAGGGGGCTGGAACTGAATGATCTTAAGGTTCTTTTCAACCCAGAGGAGTCCATGATTCTCTAAAAGTGTATTCCCCCAGACAAGACCGCTCCTTTCATACTGACGGCCGTTGCCGTGTGAGGGGCGTGTAGCAAACCACCGACGACACTGGATGCCGCCGGGGGACCCCTCAGAGGACCGCGATCTCACAGGGGCATCCCGACAGCCGCTACCCGTCCCCAGCCAGGCCGCACGGGGTGCCCCGTCACTATCTCGCCTTTCCCGCCGCCACTGGGAGCCGGCTCCACCCCCCACTCCTCCTCCGTCCTCTTTCTCCTCCTCCCGCGGCAGGGCGGGCGGCTCCGTACGCCATGGTGCGGCGCGGGCGACGGCGGGGGGCGGCGGCGTCGGCGGCGGTAGCGGTAGCGGTGAGCTGCGGCGAGGCGAGGCGGACGGCGGGTTCCGCGGGCCGGGCGGGCAATGCATGGCCGCTGGGGGAGAGCGCCGGCTTGCCCACTCTCCGCCTGCCCGAGGCAGCGGCGGCCTTTGTCCGCTCCCCGCGCCTCCGCGATCCGAGTGAGCGTGGAGGCCCTGTGGTCCCGCCGGGCGCCCTCCACGTGGCGCGGGGGCTCTGAGATCGCAGAGTGCCGGGAAGGGTTTGGAGACCGTCTCTGAGGCGATGAGAAAGTCTCGGCGGTGATGGGTCCTGCAGCGTGTCTACTAAGGGCCAAGCGTAGGTTGTTAGGGAGAAGCTTTGTTAATTAATTACTCTGTGTGTGTGTAAGCCTGGGGGCGTGACTTTAAAATAGCTAATTTTTAATATTTTAATTCTGTTCTTTTTTTTTGTTGTTGAAATGGCGAGCTGCCGCAAACATTTATTTGAGTTGCTTGATTATACATGTGTGTTGGTAAGGCTGGAGGCTTAGGGACAAACGCAGGCGTGCTTCCAGAGAAGCTGTGGCCGCCCCATCCCTGGCAGTGTTCAAGGCCAGGTTGGACGGGGCTTTGAACAACTTGGTCAAGTGGAACGGCTCCCTGGCCATGGCAGGGGGATTGGAACTGGATAGTTTTTAAGGTCTCTTCCAGTCCAAACCATTCTATGATTCTATGATTTAATCTTTACGCCCAACTGTGGTCTGGTCCATGCCTGGTTCCTGCTTGCATCAGGCATTTTTGTGGTTCCAGTCGCGGGATGTGGTGTGGTGAGTATTCCATGTAGTGGGAAGGAGCAAGAATATCAGCATCTCTGATCAGCTGTTGTTGATGGAAAGTTAGGGCTTCACGTGGGCTTTTGTTAACAGGAGGGTTGTAGTGACACTGAAACGTCTGTTAGGACCTCTGTCCTCTCAGGGACTTTGTAAACCTTCCACCTGTCTATGACCTCATGCTCGCCATCTGCAGTGGGGAGATAAAGACACTAGAACAATTTGGGAGAAATCTGATTGACATGGTACAATAGAAGCAAGTGACACTTCTCTGGTGCTGTAATGAGAGGCTCTTACTGTCTGCTGCTCACCTTTCTGCTGCACAGGTAAAATGGTGTGCATCATGATTCCTGTAAGGCTCAGCAAAGGGGAGAAGGACACACACTGTTCTCAGTACTTTTCTGTTTCTCATGGAAGCTTGTTTTTGGCTGAGTGAGGCCTTTGCTGGTTCTTGCTCCTCTTTGTGGTGCACTGGTGAGCAGAAGGGATGTGGTGGTAAAGGTTTCCTTGTCCCTAGTCACACATCTGCTGACTGGTGAGCTAGCTTGTGAGTTTGTGCCTCCATTTAGAGCAATAGCCGAGGAAGTCAGCAGTGCAAACTTGCAGTTACATTTCCCATTCCAGGGTCTAATTGCTGTGCTGTCCTTGCACAGCAGTTTCAGCACACGAAGCTTGTTAAAGGACTGCTGGCTGACAAAGCTTTTGCTCCCAGAAAACCTGAATGCTAGTAATCCAGGCATGAAGAAAGGACATGTTGCATGCCTGTTGCACAAAAGTGTTTTCCTTGGAATGCTGGGGCTCGAGTAATAACTAGGCACCACCACAGAGGAAAGGGATGCTGTTGAATCATGCAGAATTAATTCTGAAATAGGTGTTAATACTGTATATATCCATGAGATACTAGACAATACAAAATAAGAGATAGTAGTAGCTAACAGAGCATTTGGGCTGTGTTTGTATGCTGCATGCTGATATTCCCGTTATTATCAGTGTTTTTGAAAAGTAGGGGATGGTTTCCAGGTAGGTATTGTCTATAGAAGGTAACATTTTAAGTAACTTGCCTTGTGATTATGATGGTTGGGCATTCTATACTGGAGGATAAAGTAGCTTGATGGATTTTAGTTTATTATCAGTTTAAATGAAGCATTGTAAAAACAATACTCTACTGTTCTGAAAATACCTGAGTTTACTAAAATTTCATGGAGTACTTGACTTTAGCAGTAGGTTGACTGGAGTGAAAATTACCATAACTTTTCACAGGGACGGGTGGAACCACCCTGGAAGTTCCAGGAGTTGTTTCTGTGACAGATATACAGACACAGGCAGTATCTATCTTCACCTTCCGTGGAATCAAAGTATCCCTCCAAAGATTATAAAACTGTGATTCATTTTATCGCTTGTTCCTTCTCTCTGAACACTCACTTGACTTTCACCTGCTGTCACCTGTGCTAGGAATATACTGCTCTGGCCAGCAGGTTTTGGGTTTTTTGCTCTGGTGCTGTTCATGAATTTTGGAGCTCTTCTGGGATCTCCTTGCCTTCCTAAATTGCATTGTTGCCCTTGAGTCTCAGGCTGGCTAGTGCTGACAGCCCTTTTGACTGTGCATCTAGTTGTGTGATTCTTTTGCACTGCAGTACATGACTTTTCCTCTCTTTGCCTCCCACATCACACATGTGTATGATGTTTAAAATTAAGCTTTTGTACAATGTTGTTCGCCTTTTATGGTTCCAGTGTAAGACCAGGGTCTTGACTTGTAGATAGTTTTGGGGTTTTGGTTTGGCAGCTATTGGCATTCTGTCTGGGGCCCTCTATTCTTGGAGTGCTGCCCATAATTGTCAGCCTTGGAGTGCTTCCCCATTTGGTTGTTATTTTGGGGCTATGAGTTCCAGACCCAGTAACCTAGTAATGCAGTTCCAGTGCCTGTAACCCATGGTGGTGTGCTTTAGGCTTACCTCCATATTGAGCCTAGGACAAGCTTTTCCAGTGTGTGTTGAAGGTGTGACTTTGCACAAATTTGGTTTGTGTGAGTACTTGTTGGAGAATAAACTTGGATAATTTCAGTTTGAACATTACTGGAATTATATGTCCTCTGCTTCAAATAGGAATGCCCATGCATTGTGCAAACTTGAATGAGGGGAACACAATGCAACTTATTTATTATTTTTTTTTCCATGGTAGGAGCAAAAAATAGAGAATTACATCTAACCCTGCTTCTTCCACAGTGCGTTCTCCTGATACATTGTCAGAGAAGAATGTGCTATTGTGACAATTGGAAATGGAAGTGGCATGTACAAATATCTCTTAAAAATACTAAAGAGGGTGGACAGTGGTGTAGAAATAACTGATGCTTCCCACTGAAGCTCTGGGCATGCACACACAGAAGCAGTTATCTCCTCACAGCCTGCCGGGAGTTGCCTTACAGAAGGTCAAGTTGCATCTGTTTTGTATCGGGAAAGTTGCTTTTTCACTTGAGACATCAGAATTCTTCCTGTTGATGTGGAAAGTAAATCACCTCAGGCTTTTCTTTTTCTCTTTGCCTAACAAAGGGGGTGGAATGTGTGGGGATGGCAATAAGAAAAACATTGGTGTGACTGGGGGGGACCTTTAGGTGCCTTTTTTCTCCCATCACTCGTGGATGTGTGGGAGCATTGCTGAAACAGGTCTGACATCCCTCCCAGCTTGGTTTTCACCCTTGGTGCCAGACCTGTCAGCCCCCACAGGCACACACAGGCTGTCTGCTCCCAGTTCTGCAGGAACAGTAACTCTCCTTCATGCAGCCCAACAAATCCTGATGCATTCCTGGGTGTATGGGCAGTATTTTGTCAAATTTAGAGATGGGGAAACTGAGAGGTGGGGATGTCTTGAACCTTAACCTTCCATATGAAAAACTTAGATGGCTATTCTTGCAATAGTTGGATTTGGGGGCATTTGTAGCAGGGAATGTTTTCCATTGCTTTTGAAAAGTACCTTGTGGGTGTTTTAAACAAGTAAGTGTTTTTTATGTGCAAAAATAACTGAGCTCAATAGGTATAAAATTTCCTCCTTTGATTTTTTCAGCAGCAGGTAATTGTTTCCAGCTTTTACCGGATTTTCAGTACTTAGCTTTTGACTAGTAACTTCAAAAGGTAGTATTTCTCACATCTCTGCAGCATTTCAGCAGACCACTGTCTGAACCTGTGGTCCATTCAGTTTGAAATATTTTCCCTGAGCAAGCCCAAAATGTGCATCGCCTTTCTGCCTTTGTGTCTTTAGGGGTTTAGTGCCAAAAAGCTCCTCTCTTGAAGTACCTGGGTTTTTAAGGTCCCTTCCAACCCAAACCGTTCTAATATTCTGTAATTCTATGATCTTTCAAGTGTTTAAACATGAATATTTTGACATTTTGTTTAGGCAAATACGTATTTTCTTTCTTGGTATATGCTACTTTGTTGACAGTGTTAAAGTGCTAGGCTCTTATGTTGATTATAAATCAGTTTCTGAATGTTGTAATTGAAAAAATGCAAATGTCTGTGGCTTCCAGAACTACACAATAACAGTAAACAGTGCATTATAGCAGAGGTGGTTAGTGCAAGCTCATCCTTGATGTTTGTCTGCTGATGGCAATGGATGCTGGGAATAAAGGCAAGGATGCTCTTTTTGAACTCCTGGAGTATGCCCACCTCATGTGGCAGGTGTTGTCTGTTGTTAGCCTAGGCCTTTTCAGTGAAATGGAGACTTGTCAATGACTGAATGAGATTCTTCACAGTTGGGCTACAGGGAGCGAGGTGCAAACTAAAAATATTTTAAATTCTGCAGTAAGTTACTTACATCAGTATCTTAGTGTTTGGGAATGCATAAAATTCAAAAAAGGTGTTCTATTGGCAAAGAATTTTTTGGTTTCTTTCTTTGTTTAAAATCTGTAATTACACCCCCATAATGGCTCTTCTGGTGCAGATCTAGAAGTAACAGACAAGAAATTAGTTAGGCATAAAGTAATCACAGCAGTGGCTAACTTGGCTGTACAATAGCACAAGAATTAATGTAGTGGCTCCTGGAAGCAGTTTATTCATAGCAGTGAGGATCACAGCTCCTTACATGTTTTTCCATTAAAATGCATGGTGCTTTATTTTTAATGCTGCTCTGGACTAAGTGAATTTCAAGGGAGGTGGATTCTGGCCATTTGTTTAAGAGGTGGGGTAAGGAAATGTCTAAAAGGGTTCAAATATGGACAACACAACTTCTGCAGTGCATTGGATCGTGCAGTACATTGGGTTGTGCATTCTGCTCTTGCTCAAGCAACAGTGAATCAGTTTTGCATCAATCTACATCAGCTTAATAAAAGTGGAGCAAGAACGAAGTTAAGCCCATGTATACCTATTAGTGTAGCTTGTTTCAGAGAGTGAAGCTTTGGTCAAGGTGCTGTTTGCTCTTTTAATGGGGGAGGAATGTTGTCAGCAGCATTACTTTTGGAGAATGAGCTGCCTTTGGGCCATTTGTCTTGGCATAAATAAATAAAGGATAAAATAATAATAGAAACAATCATTGTACAAGGCCCTGTATGAGCAGCCTTGGTTGTCTGTGATAGCGGACAAGGCTGTTCTTGTACTGGACTTCATGTTGGGGATTTTTGCCTGAATATTTAGGGTTGGAAACTACCTCCTTTGGAAGAGGAACTGGCCTTTCTCACCAGGCAGCTCTTGATCTCATGTTTGCAAGAGTTAATGAGAGGAGTGGGAAGTCAATGTGTGACTTTATCACACAGCAAACAGCAGAAAGGCTTGCTTCGATTAAGAGTAGCATGTGACGTGTACGTGTGGTCCTGGGGACATGGAAGATAGATGTCTGGGTGCTGTTGAGTGATACGGGCACTTTTCTGCCCAAGCATTTCTCAACGACTGAATGGTTTTGCAGATGATACTGGGATGTGTAAAACCCTCTTCTGAAACTTGGCAAAATGCCTTCTGCCTCCATTTTTAAGGCTGGATTTGTTCACCCTGTCCTTCCACACACCAAATCCTAAAAACAGGCTAGGTGGAAGCTGTCTGAAGGTGGCAGGCTTCAGGTAAGCCTCTCCATGTAATGAGCTAGCCTGTTACATAGAGAGGCTTATCTGAAGTGCTTGTTCAATGCATGTGGTCAGAGGGAATGGTTGGATGTGGTGATATGAGTCTCCTGTGCTAGGATCAGACTTCTTGAACTCTGAAGTTGCAACCTTGGTCACATCAGAAAGTGCTTCTGTCTGCCTTTGGTAGTTCTTCCTCCTGGTGGGCTACACTGTGGGCTTCTTACAAACAAGAAGTGGTTTTGGTTAAAATAGGTTTTCACTTCTTACCAAGTGTTGTGGAAAAAGCCCTGCAGCAGTACTGACAAAAGAGAATGAGTTGCATTGGTTTTATTTTGGGAGTTAGCTAAGTGTCTGCTAAAATACATAATAGTACTGTTATTGCATATAATATTAAGGTTTCTATGGACTCGATTAGCATTTTGTTACATTTGAAGATGCATTGCTCACTATTGAGAGGAGGAACAGTGGTGGGTTTCACTACCAATAAAGGATGCATTGAGCATATGCTTGCAAAGATGAGACATACATATTTTTACATCTGAGTGCTGTTCTGTGGAGTTAAACACCCTGCATATCACATCCCCTCCCTTGCCCCAAATCTGGAGTCTGTATTTAGGGGTTAAAACAGACCGTACTGAGTTTTCCTGGAGTTTAGCTAAATAAGGCACAGTGTACGTATAGCGTATTTTGTGAAACAGATTTGCATTTGCATAGGAGCATAAAAGTAAGTTGAACTGTTGCTATTTTGAGTTTTCCTAGTAAGTTGGCGTGTCCGACTCATGTCTTCTCTCTTGTTTTGAATCAGCAGCAGATACCCAAGGATGTGGCTGACATTTTTAATGCCCCCAGTGACAGTGAAGATTTTCTGGGGTTCCAAGATGATGCTTCCAGACAGAGGTTGTTATCAGAAGACACCTATGCTAATCGTGATTCCCTGAAGCCAGGAAAAAAGGTAGGAAGAGATTGCCTTGGCCCAGTTATGCTTTCTGGGTGCAGTAGTACTCTGAGCCTGTGTCAAGGCTGTGTAAGCTATTACTCTCTGCAAACCCCATAATTTACAGTTCTCATATTAAAAATGAATGTAAACAAACTTGCTTCAGTGATTGCTTTGAAAAACTGATTAATTATATAAAAAGGAAAATGAGTTTCATTAAAAGGCAAGTTTAAGTGAAGCAAATAGGAAAGGGAGAATTATCCTGGGCTGATATGTTCTCTGACTACATACAACAGTGGAAATGCAGGATAATAGAGGGGCATTTGTGAGTATGCGGACTTCAAGGTATTTCTTCCAGAAATTTATCTTGGTTCTGTTTCTGCACTAAAATCACATTTTAGTGGTGGTGACCCACAGAAACTACCAGCTCCGGTTGATGATTGTGAGATTTGCTGGATCTCTGCTCTCTTAATGGTGAAGTACCTAGATCAGCATAATGGTTTGTACCTGCTTAAGAGGTGCTGAAGACAAGGATGATGACTTGAGTTAGCAAAGGAAACAGAGAGAATGAGGCTTGTACAAGTGTGTACTATTTCTGAGCCTTTGTAAGCAAGTGGCCTCGGGAGAGTGTAGAAGCCTTTTGGGGGTAGAGACACAGTCTGCTATGAAGAAAGACGGTGGCTAAAATGTAGTGAAATGGGTTCTAAATTGCTTTGTAGTGTTGTTGCTAGATGGGAGTACTAGTAACTTCAGAAAACCAACAGGTGGCTTGCTCCTGTAATTGTGGCTCTGTGCGGAGCAAGAAGGATCAATAAAGAGAGGTGGTGATGGAGCAGGAGCCTTGTGTGGGAGCCTGAGCTTCTGCTGCTTGCTTGGGACAGCTGGCACCTTACTTTACTTCTCCCTGCCTTGGTTTCCCAACTTGAGAGATGGAGATTATGATAATGATCTTTGCTACAAATTTTTCTAATGAAAAATGCTGTGGAAGTGTTAGGCACTGTTAGTTTAAGTTGTGTTACTGGGAATCCCAGTGAGACTTGTTCCAAATTTACAGCTGGCACTGCAGCTTTCCTTACCATTCTTGCGTTTCCCTTGGGCTGAGAATTATTTTAAATCTCCATCCGTAGAATTGGGCAGTTGTTGGGAGAAGAGGCAAGGCAGCTGCCCTACTAGGGGGTGAATGGGATCTTGGTGCATCAGGTGTTCTCTTGGATGCTGATGTGCAAACGTACTAATAAGTAGCAACCTCTGCATGTGTGCTTTTCCTTACGGCTTTCTGCAGTTCTCCTTCCATAATCTCTATGCTTTTGTGGAGTTTCAGCCATTTCTCCCGCAGTTATCCCTGATGCCATTTTTACCTTGTGCAGACTGTTCTTCGTAGGAGTGACAGCATAGCTCTAGGTGTGTTATTTTCAGTCACTTCAGCTAACAAAGTTTATTTCCCTCCTCCCTTTTCATTGTGGAATTTCATGAAAAAAACGGAATGCATAACAACTTTGGTTTCCCTCCAAGAAATGCAATTTAACTTTAAAGTAACTTCCCTGTTGTGTTTGTTCCTTTCTCAAGCAGCTGCACTGCAGCTATCAACAAAAGAGTAAAGCAATTTTGCTCAGAGAAAACTTATTCCAATTACCCATAATAATTTGTAGGAGATGTTTAAGTGCAAAAAACCAGCATATGCAGTAGTTCCCTCCTCTCCTTCCCCTCTAAGTTTTTCCACTCATGTATTGTGTCTGTTTTTCACCAGACATTTTAAGGTAAAGAAGGGTGTAATTAAAGTCATGGAAGGGAGAGAGTTGAAAGGAATAATAAAGATATTTAGTAAGTGTATTGTATGAAAGGTCATTTTTGTATCTCGCATGAGAGGAAGAAGTAGCAGAAGAAAACTGGGGAGACGAGTGTTGCTGGCTTTCAAGAGGCAGGTGTGGTGTGAACATGAGTTATGTTCCTACATAAAAACAAGTTTTTCAGGAGACTAACGGGCAAGTTGGCAGATGGTCTTCTACTAATTCTAACTGGGAGTATGAAAATACATTACTGATTTAGTAAATGCATTGTGTTTAATTGTTATATAATGTGCATATTGTAGAGTGTTTTAATGAGATCTTAGTTTCTTTTTCATGGACTGAATTTTCACTTCCTAGTCTGTAGGCAGAAATTTGGGATCTCTATACCCTGGAATATGTTTGAATGATAAACTGCACCATTGAAACAGAGTTGAACAGTTGGAAGGTGGAGGGATATTAGTCAGGCTATTCAAAGCTCTGTGGTTTTGTGTTGGTATCTGTCACTTCAGTGATAGTGTACCAGGATACGAAGTAACATATTCCATCTCAGAGACCCTTGAGTGCTGCTGCAGCAAGCCCAGAAGAGAGGTTTCATTTTTTTTTGTTTTTTTTTTACTGTGTTTTTGGTTCATATTTTCTTCCATTTGTCCAGGATTCAGCAGTAACAGTTATGTTTCTCCTTCTTAGTAGCTGCTGCCGTGCTCTTTTGGCTTCAGCCTGAGAACAATGTTGATAACGCATCAGTGTTTTTAGTTGTTGCTCAGTAGTGCTTATCCTTATTAAGGACTCTTCAGTCTCTCGTGCTCTGCCAATGCGGAGGGGCACAAGAAGCCACGAGAGAGCAGAGACAGGGCACCTGACGCACACTATACCACAGCACATCATGCCCAGTATGTAAACTGGGGGGAGTTACCTGGAAGGGCAGACCTCTGCTTGGGTCAGGCTGGGTGTTGGTCAGCAGGTGGTGAGCAATTGTATTGTGCATCACTGCTGCTTATTGTTGGGTTTTTTTTTCCTTCCCTTTTTAGTTTTATATTCTCTCCCTTTGTTATTTCCCTTATTATTATTAGTGGTAGTTTTGTATTGTACCTTAGTTGCTGGACGGTTCTTATCTCAGCCTCTGGGGTTTATTTTATATTCTTTTGATTCTCCTCCCCATTCCACTAAGAGTTGGGGGGAGGAAAGGGGGAAGTGAGTGAGAGGCTGCATGATTCTGAGGTACTGGCTGGGCTTAAATTACGACACCATTCAAGGCCTGTTTTTTTAGATCCAGAAGAACGAACAGCATGATAATTTACACATTAAAAAGCGGATAGTTTATTTTCATTGGGTAGTACTTAAGAAGAGGAGAAAGAGGCAAAGCAGAAGAAAGTTTCCCCTGCAAGAAGCAGCTCAATTAAAGCCCTGTGCTCAAAGTGAAGGGGGGAAAAAAAGATAAATCCTAAGCTAAATAACTTCGTGCTGAAACTGTATGTCTTCTGCTTTCTTCTTTTGACAGGCTTTGCCTGCAAAGTGCTTTCACTTTGCAGTATATGCCATCTAATTGGTATCTTCTTGAATCTCAGAACCTGTTTAATGTGACTGAGACTACTGTGTATCTGACTGGCTGTCATAGCTACTGGCTGGTGTTTTTAACAGGGGGTTCAGTTTCAGTCCAGATACCTCACTGAAGAGCTGCAGAGGATTTTTGCAGAAGACACTGATTCTGAAATGGAAACATTTGAAGGCTTTGCTTCAAGTGAGGTGGATGTGAATAAAAAAGGAGTTCTGGTAAGGCAATTACGTATGTGTGAATGTATATGTTGACTTCTGTTTTTTTTCTGTTTCTTCTGTGTAAAACTCCTGTTCTAGTACGAGTGTTTCTGATACACTGTGATGTTCTTTCTTCATGCTGAAGAAAAATATTTTAAAAGAGATAAAAAGCTTTATTTAGTGTAACATCACATATGAGACATGAGGACTTCTTCCCTTGCTTGTAGACTGTGCTGGGCAAGAATCTTCGTTTGAAGACAACCATGTCTGTATCAGATTATTAATATGTAGATTTTGTATTGGTCTCTGCACAGGGAGAAGTGGTGTACTGTGAACTTTTAAACATTTGTTGGCTTAGGTGAATTTATGACTGTGCCTTTGGGTGATGAGGCTGCTGCCTAGAATTAGTGATTTAAAAATGACCTTTTTGTGTGTCACAGCCAATAATGTAACATGGGATTCTTCCTGCCTCTAGGCAGTAGAGTCGGATTTGAGTGATGAAGAACGTGATAATTTATTGGGTAGCGAGGAAGAAGAGGAGGAAGAGGTGAAGAAGAAAGTTTCCCCCAAAAGAAAAAGCTTTGGCCTCCGTGTTGCCTTACAGTTTCCCACCAGAAAGTCATCTGAGAAAAAAGTTCCTGAACAGGAGTTTTCTAACTTACCTCTAAAGGAAAGTGAATCCCTCACACCTCATTCAAAAGAAATAAGCTGTAAGTGGTGGGATAAACTAGAGGGCTCTGCTTCAGAGTCTGAAGAAGACATGAAAGAAACACAGGAGGAAAGTTCCAGTGCTCTGCTTAAAAGAGCTATGAATATTAAAGAAAATAAAGCCATGGTAAGACTTAGAGGACTTAATGTCCTCTAACATTTACATCCTAATACTTAGCTTCAGAACAGTTGAATGTTGGGGTCCTTGCTGGTGCTGTGCTGGGACTTTGGGAAGATCTCATGGTGGTTTGTGTTAGAATTTTTCTGCCTGGAAAGACTGTAGAGGACCAACAGCATCCAGACATTAACCCCTAAAATAGCCTCAAGTATGTCTAGTCTGCTAAGACCAGAACTGAACCAGTCATTTTGCATGTGGACGTGAACAAAGTTACAGATGCCTGAGCTGTAGTCTTATATTCAGAACATGTCAGAAAAACAGCATGTCCCTTCAAATGGTTCGTGGTATCATTTGCACAGCAGGGTTTATACTTTTCATTTGGTCTGACAGATCTGCTGCAGTTAGTGATTGGAAAGCCAGCTAAAAACTGCTAAGGATGCTAAAATGTAATTTTTCAGTTGTGTTGGATGTGTTTACAATTATGCTTTGCTATATAACTACTGAAAGTGTGTGTTTGTGTGTGTGTAGGTCAGGAAAAGAAAGACACTGATCATTACCTAACACTTTTTCCTCTGTTGTCCAACATGCCACCAGCTCTCTATCAAGCAGCTGTGTAGATCCAAGTTGATGTTGGATTAGTTTTACTGTATTCCTGGAAAAGTTGCGGCTGCCCAAGTACAAGTACACCTCTTGGGTGTGTAGGCCTCTGTGTAAAAACTTCTTTTAGTTTTGTACCTGTGTTTCTAATGTCTTTTGTATCCTCACTGCTGTTTGTGTTGGTCTTGCTGCTTTTCCACTGTTCTCACTCTTCTAGTTCAACCATTGTGAAATTCATTGGCATCCTAGTTGCAGTACTGCAGTGACATTGAATAGGTCTTGGTAATGCCACACTGAAGTATTTACTGAGAAATGCATCCATCAGCATTACTGTCTGTGGTTTGCAGCATTTGCGAAATCAGCAGTAGCTGTCATGGTTGAAAAAAGGGATATTCCTAGTCTTTGCTACTAAGGACCCCTGAAAAATGATAAGGAAAGTTTCTCTGCTGCAGTGTCAGTGTTTAAAGGGACACTTGCCCTGGCAAAAAGCGCAGGTGTATCAGAAGTCATTCAGAAAAATAGCCCATAGGAAACATTCAATGGTCTTCTGGTCAAGGGCACCCTGACTTCCTTCTCTCCCTCCTGTCATGGACTGTGATTTTCTCATTATTGGTCATAGATGTTGTAACCATGTTGTAATGTCCTGCTTCAGTGCTGTTTTGACAAGATTGGATGTTATTCTAACTAATTCAAAATCCCAGTAAGAATTAATGGGAGCTGTGAAGATAGCACTGCCTGCAGAGTTTTGCTTATTCAGGGGTAAATTAACTGCTTTTATGAGCCCCGCTTAAATAAAGTGCCTCCAGAAAGATTTCATGTGAAAACCTGAAACTTCATGTGTTTAGATATAATTCAGAGTATATGTGAGGAGCGGGTGATTGGTGTTGGTTGTTTGCAAGTTTGCAGTGAGTTTTCAATGTGGCATCACTGTTGATTTCAGCTTGCTCGGCTGCTGGCAGAACTGAATTCTATACCGGAACTGTTCCCAGTGAAAACCCCCACCTCAACTCCTTCGGTAAGTCTCTGCTACTGGCTGGAGGTGATAGTCATTTTTCTAAACTTAGGATTAATGTGTTACCTGATGAAATGCTTTCACCATGATTGTTTTGGTTTTCTTTGGTTTTGGTCACTTTGTTTGCATAGGTTTGCTATTGGTCAGTATTTAAGTACCAGAGGTTATGTGAGGAAATGGAATTTTACAAGATAATTTACGGAGAAATATGGAGACTGAGGCGAGATGCTGCTTTGTCATTTTTGACCCAGAAATACTGTTGAGATGCTAGACAAATGCTTGTATATGTGAGAACAAGGAAGAGTAGTTGCTTTCCTTTGGGTTTAGATCCTGTTAATATCCCTCTTGCAGGGTTTTCTTCTAAAATCCACACTTCGTAGCAGACCTATGCTGAAGAAATTGAACCACTTCAGCATGAACGCAGAATGATACTAATATTATTTCAGCTGACTTTTCTTGACTAGAAGCAGAGATGTGAGAAAATATTCAGCTTCTGAAGAACAGGGAGAGCTAGCTTCTACCTTAATATGCCATACATAAAATTTTGGTACTGTTCTGTGGTATTAATTGGACTAGAATTAGACTGTTATTCTTCTCTTTCTAGAAACAGAAGAAAATCCCAAGGAGGACATTTTCGGAAGGCCAGATAGCACGTCGCATGAACCCAACCAGAAATGCTCGTCCACCAGAAAAGTTTGCCTTGGAAAAGTTTACTGTGTCAGCTATCAAGTTTGCAGAACAATTCAGTAGCTATAGACAACAAAACCTCCTGAAGAAGAGACTCAGTGTGGTATTTGCCAGACTTTGACATCTCCAGTAGTCAGGGATTAGGAAACATTTAAATTGTTGGCCAGCACTTAGATCAGACATCACATCCTACAGAAAGCTAATGAGAAGCTTTGGTTGGGATTAGCTACAGAAAAGTTATCTTCAGGCCTTCCTGCCTCATCTTTCACCTATTAACTGGGCTCTACTTGTGACCTGTGTTGTCCAGTCATGACAAGGCAGTTTATAAGGTCTATTATTTATTCATTATTTGAAAATTACTAGAGCCCACAATGTAGAAGGCCTTTGAGTGGCAAGGCAGTGGGGCTGGTGGAGGTGGCAAAGGAGATCTTCTCTATCTTCAGACTCAGTGAAGAAAATAACAAAAGAGATAGAAGTTATATAGCTGAACTGAGAATGAATGAAGGGAATTGCACCAACAAACTGCTGACGTACTGGTTAGCCATTTGAGAATTGTAGGTTTTATTCTTTCCCACTTTCTTAAAATCTTGTTTTTTCCTCCCTTGGCTTATGGTGTCGTTTTATATTTATTGTATAACTTTTATAAGGAGGTTTGCCTCTGCACAGGCTGGATTCCAGTTCTGCTTGTAGGAATGAGAGCTTGGCATAGTTGAAGCATTATAGAGGGAACGTGGCTATTAAGAAAATGGAGTAGCATTGAATGAGAACCTGGGCTGGTAAATAGCTACTTTGGAGAGAAAAGAGCTGATCTTGGGTGAAGGATAAATTAGGTGTTAAAGAGTGTGATAGGGAGAAAGCTAAGGATCAGATGAAACTCATACATGAATAGGGGTCAAAGAGAATGATATTTGGAAGGAAAAAGGAACACTTAAGTAATAGTGAATGGAGGACTCCCTTCTGAGTCACAGGCAGAATAGTAAGAAAGGGCTCTGTATGACAGGACTAACCTAAAACTTCAAGAAAGCTTTTTTGGAGGACATTAGAAATTGTTATTGGAGAAAGCAATTAGAGAGTATGGTGGGAGATTGAAGGAGCAGAGAATGGGAAGGCAGAAGATCATAGTTCCTTATTTTAAGAGGAAAGAAACAGAGTATGAACAGTTACAGTAGACATGTGCAGGGAACACAAAGAAAAGGGTGTAGCAGAAAAATATGTTAGGGATTGTAGAAATAAAAGTAGTAGTGGTGGGAAGGAAGAACACAGAATGAGTAAGTGGAGTATAGAAAAGATTACGAGGGAGAGAAAGAGGTGGTGATGGTTTGGAAACTCTTATTCCCTGTTCCCACTGCGGTCCATGAGCCACCCCCTCTAGGCTGCATACACATTATAAATGAAAGAATTTGTCACCAAGTGTGGTGACAGAATCTTCATAACACCAGACAAAAAGTGTTGAGATGAATTTGTTTAGCAGGGGAATTGTGGAGTGCGCAAAAGGAGGAGATCATCAAAATACTCATCCAACCGTCCAGTAGAGGATATTACTGAGGAGGACTTGGACAACATTGCAATCACTGTTAAAGATAAAATCTATGACAAAGTTCTAGTAAGTGGCTGCTGTTCTTGAGTGCGACCATGTGCTTAAAAATGAAAGTTCTTAATAGTTCACTGGTATTTGCTAAAAGGTATGCTTTCCTGCATTAAAGAGAGCAGCTTGGCAGTGTAATATTACACAAGCACAACTTTGAAAGCTTTGCCAGGCTTCTGTGGGCCTGCCTCTGCTGGTTGATATGCCCCACCAACTTTTTCCTCAGCAAGGAAGTACTTTCTTCATTGAGCTGTTAAGTGGGATTTGCTATAGCTATGAGTCACCACTGATGAAAGTTGACATCCCTTTGATCTCTTATGCTCACTTAGTATAAATGTGGTGGTGGTTGAACTATTAAATAATAGTGATCCCTGCTGCTCACTGTACCCCTGGAAGTGACATTTTTGTATAGTTTGGGTAGTTTCCAAAGCTCTTGATGAAACTTGTACTTCCTTTCTTTCATTGGGTTTGGCTATTATTAATTGTCCTAAAGATCTAAACAGTTAGCTTGCTATTTCATGCCTCATTACATTTGCAGAAATGAGTCACAAGGTCATTTTCTGAATAGTATTAGCTCTTTCTGAGATAGATAGAGGAAAGGATCAGAACTGCGACATGAGATTTGAGTTTGAGACTCCTAGCGCAGCTGAGGCCGGCCACTGTAAAATTCCTAGCATCTCTCCAGAGATTAATTATAATAACAGAACTTATTAATGAAAATCATTGCTGAATTTGACTTCAAATTGCCGACTTTGAATTCAAAACAGAAATTTGTGCTTTGCTATCAGCAGATATACTAGCAAAGGTCAGCAGTGAGCATTTAAGATGTCCTTCGGACATACAGGTTTCTTCTCCTTTCCAACTTTAGGGTAGTACTTGCCACCAGTGTCGACAAAAGACAACTGATACGAAGACAGTCTGTCGCAACCACGGCTGTGGTGGAGTGAGGGGACAATTTTGTGGACCATGTCTTCGAAATAGATATGGGGAGGATGTGAAATCAGCACTGCTTGATCCAGTAGGTATTTCCAGGGCTTGAAAGAAAGCGTAACGAATATCGTTTTGTCAGTAAACTGAGGAGCACTTGCTCATGATAACATAGAGTTCAAAGCTTTTTGCCATGAGAAAATCTCTAGTTACTGTTAAAACTGACACTGGTCTTGTTGGAGCTCAAGTGGAACATGCTGGACCTGGGTTACCATCCATCCATCTTCCTGCTTTGAAGTTCCCATTTCTTACCAGATAGTGGAGGGAAAGCATGACAGCTTTTAAAAAAAGAAATCTGTCCCCTTTCAGAAAAATGCAAAACATTCCCCTTTTTTTTTAATGCTCTCAGTCATGTAGCATGCAAAGCAGGTTCCTTGGTTTAGATTCCAATTTTTAAATATGAAAAAAAAGGAAAAGGATACCTAGAAGTCTTAGGGTTGGTTCCCTCTTCCCTGTTGTCCCCCAAGGCTCTGAGGAAGGAGGAAGGGCAGGCTGCTGCTAGAGAGTAAGGCATGTGGGTACACAAAAAGCCCTCTGCAGAACAGTCCTCCCTGTGCTCAGCTTGTTCTGGGGCCTCCTCTCTAAGGCCTCCTGCTTTAGGTCTGGGTTTCTGGGCTGTTCTGAAAGACAGTGGAGAACTAATGGCTCTGATTTACTAGCCCAGTGTAGCAATGGCTGCAATTCTGTAATGCAGGCTGTTAGAACTTGCCTGTCTGTTAAGTTGCTGGGCAGCTGGGAGATCTTTAACTTCATGTACATGCTGGGTAATTCAATCCCAGGAATCATGCTATACCAGCAGGCAGAGCCAAAGAAACCTGTCACAGGGGGTACTTGTCTTTTGCTAAGGCTGTTCGCTGCAGTCAGCCTAGCGCAGATGAGTTACTATTAGGCATTGCGGATGCCTTTAGTCTATTTGAAAATCAATACTGAGTACATCAGAGAACCCGAGTCTTCAGAGTTTAGAGGTATTCAAGCAAACAGGATAGTACTTAATCATTTATTTAATCAGCAGAATTTGCAAAGTGTTTATAAGGTTGGTTGGCTGGTTGATAGAGGTTTCTAAAACCTTGTGTCTGAGTAATGGGAAGGTGACTGTAATCTTACTCATGTCTTGCCTTTACTTCTGCCTTCCACCTTCACCCCCCTTGCAGGCCTGGATCTGTCCTCCTTGTCGTGGGGTGTGCAACTGCAGCTACTGCCGCCGGCGGGATGGGCGCTGCGCCACGGGCATGCTCATCCACTTGGCCAAGTTCTATGGCTACAACAATGTTAAGGAGTACCTGGAAAGGTGAGGGTTGTGCCCCATGGTAATTTTCTTTTAAACTGTTGTAGCCCTTTAAACAATACCTGACTTCTGTGGCCTGGGGCAGATCCTGGACCAATGCAAAAGAAACCTTTTGGACTTGAAATCAGCTTCGGTAAAGTGAGTCACATGGTCTGTAAACAACTGATTTCCTTAAGAGATTGAAATGCTTTTGCCAATTTGAAATCTGTATTGATTGCTTGGAGCATATAGAAGTGCTATTTTGGAAGTTGTCAGCTTCATCTATGGTAATTGTCTGTTTATGGAGAACCAGAATTTCCTAGAAAGCACTAACACTTTTCTCACATTTTCTAGTTTACAGAAACAACTGGAGAATGACAAATGAGAACTCTGAACTCAACGTGTGCCTGCAACTGATTAATATGTTGACAATATTTGACTTCAGAAGGTTATTACCATGTTTTATAAAAGATAGAATTGTAGGGTAGAATATATGCATTTCTTCATTTAGAACTTTGATTGATGTGGTCTTATGCAAAAGATCTCTCAGGAAAATATTTTGGTAGAGAAATCTACATGCACAGACCTATATGTTAAGTGAAATGGCACTCTTGAACTTTGAGTGGTTAATTTTTGATAGAGCTACACAACCATATGATTGAGAACTTGGTCAATTTGAGCAATATTTTTATTTATATAATTGTGCAAGTTTCCAGAAAGGGTGTTTAATAACTATCTGTAAAGCATATCCTGTCTTTAAAGAAACAAAACGCCCTTCGTGTTCCAGCTTGACCCTAAAGATTCAGTTTTCCAAACCTTTCAGAACCTACTCCAGCACCTGTAGTTTATGGAACTTTGCATGCAAAGAAGGGAAGGGTACTTCATCTGAATGGATAATATTTCAGCCAAAGCTGATGCAACGTACCAGTGGGGGATGATTTTTTTTTTTTTTTTTTATTCCAAAGTGCAATTAGTAACTGAAACATGGAAGTGGAAGACTCGTTTATAAAAAAAAAAAAAAAAAAAAAAAATTAAAGAATTTTAAACATCATCCCAGGTGATGTACCTGCTGCCTGAACCAACTACCTTACAGCAGCTGGTAACAGGTTAACTGGTTTAAATCAGAGTTCAGGATTACTTTTTTTTACGTACAGTTCATATTTAGACGTTTTTTTCGTATGTACAACCAAACTTTCAAACTTTGTTTAAATGCAACGTTTGTATTGCAGTATGGTTATGTTAAAATTCTTGTAAGATACATGTTTCATTTTATGTAGAGAGAATAAAAAGTAATGAAGAAGAGTAATTTGTGAGTTGAACTACACCCAGATGCTATTGTCTCCCATTTATTTTCCATAGCTGCTGTAACGAAGGAATGTTTGCATATCACTAATAATTATGTGGAGAAAGACATGAACACAACAGTGACAGATGAGGACATAACACCATAGAGCACATAGAGTGTTACAGGAAAGATTGTGGTTTTGGGAGGCAAATCTGCTCCAGTTGATTATGAAAAATATCTCCTTTTGCTTTAACTACAAGGCAGGTTAAGAAAGCAGTACATAGTAGTGAAAGCTTAGTACTAAACTGCCAAGAATAAAGCTGCATTTGCTAGAGCCCATTTAGGTGGCTTCTCCTTGCTTTTCGTAGTGAAAGTGCAAACATAAGTTGGCCTTCTGCTTTTGGTTTTAGAAATTGGGCATTCATAAACATTATTAGTTTCACTTCAATCCACTGGAATAGCCCTCACAAAAATGACTCACAAGTCAACTCCTTGAGCCAGTTCAGCTATGGTCCCAGCTACATGCCTTACCTGATGCCTACAGTAAAGATAGGCACATGGTGTTCTATAGTGCAAGACCACAGTACTTCAGATTCAAAGAGTTGCCTATTGCTGAATACTTAAAGCTATGTTTAAATATACAGATCCAGTGTAGACTGTTGTTGGCCTGTTGTGTGTCATTGCTTTGCGTGAATGTGGAGATGAGTATGTAGCTTCTGCTGGGAATGGACATCTGGTTTCATCAGCATGCCCTTTCATTGAAAGCAGGGACTCGAAACTACTTATCTTTGGGACTTCAAGTATGCCTGTGACTGAATGTATCTGTCAAAGTCAAGTGCTCATATTTTCTCCTAATGATTCACTAGATTATGGTCAAGTATTCCAAGAGGTGGAGAACTATGCTTGCAGTGTTTAGCACGTGTTTGTTAGAAGAACAGATACAAACACAGCAAACTCAGCAGCTTTCAGATAGTACATAGCCCTTCAGCAGCACAGAACTCGTCTTAACTACACTGAAGAGCCTGTTTGTATAATATCAAAGTAGCAGATAAAAGTGTTGCAGATGCTTCTTGTGGATTTTAGAAATGTTTATTTAGCAACAGGAAAGTTTATCTATCTTTGTAAATACCAACACAAACACAGAAACTGCATTTCATGAAGTTCCTTGATACCTTCCTCATATCCAGAGGAGGAATGAACAGCCTTTGAGTGACTGATTCAGGTTACCATTTCAGAAAATCAACAGTTAAATGACATGCCTGTCGTTGCTCCAGTCTCCCATCCTGATTTTCCCCTTGGGGCTTACCTGCTGTAGTGGCAACTCACTTCCAAAAGAGGTGCTTTCTTTTTATTACATTCAGACCTGGTGAAAGAGTACTGATGATGTTTCTCTAATTGCTGTTGGAGTCTCTAATTAGCTCTAACTCAGTTGACAGCCTTTCTAAGTTAAAACTAAAAACCCATTTTGACGGTGTGCCTTAATTGTCATTCCTAAACTAGGTGCTTCACTCTCAGCAAAGTTGAAAGCTGTTAAAAGAGGGATTGCAGCTCAAAAGATGAACACAATTTCCATTCAGGGACAGCCTACAACCATATTACAGCTACTGCAATAATTGACTGCTTGGAAACCTAAATGAAAAATCTACTCTTGTCATACTTACACATCACCCACTTAGGTATATTGATACATCATGCTAATACAGGGTTTTTAAGTATTTAGTTGCTTCTTTTGTCTCCCCAGTGGCCTATAAGTATTATGCCCTAGCAAATAAAAAATTCAGATTTCTTTAGATCTGTTCATTTAGAAATTACAACTTTCTGCCAAGGTGGAAGAAAAGACAGGAGAAAGGTGGTTTTTTAAATAACTTTTTTGTTTGTTTTAACTGTGACTGTATAGATGGCTTGATCCAGGTTACTGACATCTGGAAATTACTAACCTTATTCTGCACCTCTTAGAGCTGCTGAAAATTTTTAGGCTATCTGTACTGGGGTAAAAACTAAAGTCTCCAGAATAGTCTTCAAGCTTCTGAATCTCAACTAGATGAGAGTTGCTGTTTTATTACAATGCAGATGTTGTTTAGATCCAGTTAACAGTTATTTTAATGCATAAAGTAGAGTCAGTGATTAAGGACACCAAGCTGATACGAAATTTAAAGTCACAGTGGTCCAACATCAACAGTCCATTGCCATTCCTAAATTTCCTCAGTGCTGTTCATAGGATCACACTTTAGTCTAACTCCCGATGGAACTTACCTACCTAATAAAGGGAGTTACAGTCCCTGAACTAGGTTACTGAGATCAAGCAATTTAAGCTTATTTCTTCCACAAAAAGCCCACAGATACAAGCTCCTTCCCCTGGTGGGTAGGCATAATCTTTGGTCTTTCGGGTAGCATCTACAGTCAAGCACACCTTATCTAAAGTCCAGTTGTTCTTGCATACCATGCTGTGCAGTATAGCTTTAAAAAGTAATACTTCCAGTAACTCAATATTCAGACAGTAATTTTAATGTCAGAACTGTTAATGGCCCCTCTTGGACCAGTAGTGCTCAAGCCTGAGACTGGCTGGGGTTTTGTTTGGTTTATTTTTCCTTTGTCTGTTATCTGAAGGAAGGCAGAAAAGCTGCGTGAATGCAATTATTTGGAAACAAAATATTCTGAACAGTACAGAACAAACCAAAACTACCATGACATATTCACTGAATTGGTTAAATAATAATGGTAGGAAAACTCTCACTCTGCCTTTTTTAAACTATAAAATTCAAGGTTTCATTTCCTTAGCTGTTTTGTCCTCACATCTGATTAGGCTGAAGAAAAGTCCTTATTGGTGCCCCTGCTTTCAGGAGATGATGGTCATTCTGACATCTAGCTGATTTTTCTCTTTTTATTTAGACCGTGCTCAATGCTCCAAACAGCATCACAAACACAGCTAACACCATCGGTGAAAAAAATCAACGTCTGGCAGTGAAACCACAACACCCAAGTCCTTACAACCATCACTGCTTACCTGTCAGAAATCACAGGGTTGAACAAGCCAGATGGCCAGACCACTGCTGGCAGTGCAAGGTCCTGTGTCCAGATGTGAAGTTCTCCTTAACACATGAGATTGGTAACCCTAAAAGTGGCAATAGCTTCTGACTTAATCTTTATGTACCACTTTTTCAACATAAATAAATTACAGACTTCAAGTGTAATAGTTCCTTTGTCTACAAGAAAAAGTACATGGCTGGAGTAACCAGAAAGTACATGCTTGCATAAGCACAAGGTTATGGGTTTAGGGGGATTTGCTCTTTCCCTGATGGCCAAAATCAGCTGTAGAAGGTGATCAGCATGTGGCAGGTTGCTGGTAGCAGAGAGTGTGAGTATGTTCAGACCTGTAAAACTTCTTGTCTTGGAGAAAAACCTGATCATGACCATCAGTCATGTTAACACCATTAACGTGTTACTCAGAAACTGCTAAAAATTGGTAACAACAGTTGTTGATTCTTAAATGTAAATTGTCTGATACCATCTTCAGTAGTGCATTTAAACTTATAGTAAGTCAGAGCAAAATACAAATTAGGAGCACAAGAGTCTGACAGATGTTGAATAATGGCATGCTGTGGCATACACTGCCATGAGACATGTCCTGCGTTCAGCAGTAGCAGTCATTTTTCTCCTCCTTGGTAGCTGGTGCAGTGCAGTGTTTTGACTTTCGGCTTGGGAACAGAGCTGATAACAATGATGTTTTGGTTTGGCCAAGGACTTTGTGAGGCTCATGCTCTGCCAGGGAGGAGAGGAAGCTGAGAGGAAGCCGAGACAGGACACCTGACCCAAGCTAGCCAAAGAGGTATTCCATACCACAGCACGTCATGCCCAGGAGGTAACTGAGAGTTACCCGGAAGGGCTGGTAGACTGCAGGGTTGGAGGAGGCATCGGTCAGAGCTTGGTCGGGCTAGGGGGGGGAACGAGTTATCAGTCAGCTGGTGGTGAGATGTTGTATTCTCTTCCCTTGTTATTTCCTTTATCATTGTTATTATTGGTGGTAGCAGTAGTGATCTGTGTTATACCTTAGTTACTAAACTGTTCTTATCTCAACCCGTGGGAGTTGCATTCGTTTCGATTCTCCTCTCTGTCCCTCCAGGAGTAGGGGGAGGGCAAGAAGGGTAAGGAAGGGAGTGAACGAGCCCTCTGCCTGATGTTAAACCATGACAAGATATCAGAGGAATTTCCAAAACTGCCTATTTTATCCATATCTAACCACCTGCAAGGGGATATTGCTGGTGGCAGGGAAGGGAAAAAGGAATCCTACAGAATGCTGAACATCCCTAGTACCTGGAATAAAGGGAGGTGACAAAGCCTTCGCTTTAGCCAAGTGCTTGGCATTTTTGCAAAACACATTTCAAAGTAAAACTGACTTGCATTACAACAAAATGTAGACAAAAAAGTAAATGGAACAAAGCTGCTGGATTTAGATCACTGGAATAGCTCTGTGCATGTACTGAAGGGTACTTACCAGTGGGCAAGGTAACATGCTAGTTTAGTCCATATGTCTGGCACAGCATCATAGAAGAGTGCAGATTGCAGCACTGCTGTGTGGGGAGACACGTCAAGTCCAAAAAACATACTCGCATCGTGAAGAATAGCTATTCCATTTACAAAAAAAACCCCAAACCAACAACAAACCAACAATAAAAAGCCCCAAAATACATAGAACAGCAACAGTAGTGTTAAAAAAGTCACTTGCCTTCAGCCAAGTCCAGCTGTTTAAAGAGACCTA